GAAAACTCCATGGTTAAATTTATGTCCATGGCTCATGGACAGCCCCATGGTTTTTTTACCCAGGGTTGTACCTGGAGGAAACATTAATGCCTCTGGTGAGTAGCTGTTGAATTCTAGGGTGTGAGGAGCATAGTTGATGTAGATGTAGAATCTTTCTTTCACATACCCATAGCTTTGTAATAAATCCAATTGACTACATCTGCACCTAACCCTGTGCCTCAAGTCAGGTCATACCTGTGGTTAAATTCCGTAAACAACCAGGCATGCTTGAGGCGAGCAGTTGTCACTGGTTGTTAAGTGTACTCAGCCCCATGAAAAACTAGAATAATTTGCTGGTATTACATTGGAGCTTGATCTTTGTCATTTTCAAAGTCTTCCTTTTTTATTATTTGTATTTGCAGATATTTACACAAATGTCATATGCTCATTCCACAACTTAGCTTGTTCTGTAACACTGAGATGATAGTTTTTGTTATCTTTTTTGTTATTCTATCACTTGCATATCTTTTCAAATTTTTATGACTACCACTTCTATTAACTACGACCCCTGATTTATATATTTCTTTTTCCGTGTTTCAGAACAAGGTAGTTTGTGGAATGAAGAAATGACCTTTCTGTTAATTTCTGAGTACTCAAAGCGAAAGGAAGACTTTGATAATGATAAAGATCGGGCTTCAAAATTATACAACAATATTCTTAAAGTTTCTCATGAGGCTGGGTACACTTCTTTAACCAGTGACAACTGCTCCTCACGCATGGCCTGGTTATCTGTGGAATTTCACCGTAGATATGACCTGACCCTGAGAGGCACAGGTTTAGGTGCAGATGTTATCAATTGGGTTTATTACGATGCTATGGGTATGTTACAGAAAAACCCTGCATTAACTAAACCTAAAAAGTTAATGTCGTTTGGATCGTCTAATGTGACCAGGACGCGTTGATTTATTGTGATTCTGTATGCAGTGACTAGTAAATTTGGCTGAAAAAATTTGTTGGGAGGGGTGGGTATGTACATACCATTTCACTTTCGTTTCGAAAGTTTTTGGGTCCTAAATGAATTAATTACCTAACTTTCATCTACTGTTTTTTTTTCTTCTGGGGTTTGGTACTTTCACTAGGTACTTCAACTTTGTAAAATTTAGTTTAATCTGCCAAATTTTTCTGGTCAATGTATTATGGCAATTAAGATGTAAATTTAAAATACTGCCACTTAATTTGTATGGTCACACTGATAAACTAAGTGTGACATATGCTTGACCAGATCTCAATGTATTTTTTAGATTAGAATTAATTGCTTGAGTTACATCTTACCAACTGTTGTCCTCTTGGCTTTATGAAGAAGATAGAGATGGAGATCAATGTCCTGAAAGGAGAGGTCGCAAAAGATTAGATGCTATTAAGAAAAGGAGCCCTAATGCCAGCAGCAGTGACACAAAAATTTCCATTGGTGCCAGTATGTCGAAAGAAATGAAAAGATTTAATGACATGATGGCAGAAAGGCTTCAACGAGAAAAGAATAATTTTATAGAATAATTTTTGTATACTGATGAATGTATTTTGTAGGGATGTTTCCCTTTTGTAGCTTTGAAGCTTGTCTCAAAACACCTCATGTTTATTTTGGTTTCTGTTAATATTTTCTTGCAGTCATGTATGATATATATTTTGCCTTATGGCATGTTAATGAAATTAGGTTTTATTTTTGTTGACTAGTCATATGTACAATAAGGTCTATTATTTTTGACTAAGTGTATTTTCTGTACTTTACTGTGTTCTAGTATTTATTTGTATTTGCTTTGAGATAACGATTAGGTCAAATATAAGTTAATATAAGTTTACCAAGACTGCCATCACTTCAAGATTTCAGGGCTTAAATAAGTATTCAGAAAAATAAGTATTCAGAAAAGTGCTTCTTGTTTAGATTAATTTTTGTGTACTGATGAATGTGTTTTGTAGGGATGTTTCCTTCTTATTGGAGCTTTGAATCATAACATGTTAATGCACTGCTAGTCTCCAAAGATCTTACGTTTATTTTTGTTTTTGTGAAGGTTTTTCTACTGTCATGTGTGATATATATTTTGTCTTGTGGACTGTAAATGAAATGATGTTTTATTTTTTCTGACTAGTCTTCTGTCCAATAAGGTCTTTTATTTTTGACTAATTGTATGTGTTCTAGTATTTTTTGTTACATTTGCTTTGAGATAATGACCAAGTCAAATATAAGTCATGTAAGAGATGATCTGATTACACAATCATTTTTACCAAGATTGCTATCACTTAGATGTGGGGGCTCAAATAAGTATTCACAAAAGTGATTCTTGTCTTTCAAAATAATTTTATTTAGACATTAACATTAAAAGTTCCAATTAAATGTCAGACCACTATGGTAACACATAAATTAGTTATTTTTATGAACATGGGGATTTGCCCCCATTAAATTAGTCAAATCTTTCTCCAATTAAAAAGAGCATTTACATTATTTAAATCTAATATGGCAAATCACAGAGTAACAACTATGAACAAATTCAAAGTATCAAAAGATAAGACATGAACAGTGGAAACTTATAATTAATACCAAAGGAGTCAGAGGGTGAATTGGAAGCAATTTGAAGCACCAGACATCACAATAAAGGGAATGAATTGGAGATGTCCCACCTTTTTTGTTGACCTAAGCGATGGCTTGCTTCTACCAATCTTCTAAAATCTTGAGGTATGTGTGGGTCGTTTGCATCTAAATTTCTCCTTGGTTCTGGGGCTCTCACATCATTTTCTAGAACTCTGGCATCCTCCACATCATAAATGTTGGCTGCAGCAGGAATCTGTGAAGTGGTGAAGTCAAGTCATTCAAATACCAATCTAATTTCATTTTAAAAAAAGCAACTACCCAGTAACAAGAAATTTACAATAGCAACTTGATCTCCGTGCAGAATTTTGTAGTTATGCAGAACAATGCACGCCACAATACACTGTTAAAAAACGTTAACACTTCGTGTAAACTGCGAAACGAACCCATGATAAAGAAAACTAAATTACATATCCTAATGTAAATAAAGAAGTAAACATTTTTAGTTGTACGG